GCATAAATATGATTTCCAATACCTACTAACTTCAACAAGTAGAAGTAGAAGTAGAAGGAGTAGACTAATGAGAATTGAAAATGAAAGAAATGTGTGTGTCCTATAACATCCTTATTATCTAATTGATTTTGAATAACTTTTTTGTTGGTTAGGTATTCGAAAAATCTACCAAAAAAAAGTGATTTTATTTTTTGATTGTTATCGTGGTCAACTCTGACCAATTTTGTTGACCTATTTTCCAAAAAGTAACAAGTATTGGGATTCTTTTCCATAAAAAATATGGATGGATACTGAATCAGGATCACTTGAAACATACATATACTATATACTGGTTTCTAACATATCTCATGAAACACAGCATTAATGCTTTTGTTTCCGTTCAGAAGAATGCAAGCAGATTCCTTGGGTCAAGACAAATACGAACTTGCTATTCAAATATAATTTTTTTTTTTTTTTATCGCTTGGAGCGCACGATAGGGAATCCCTATAATGTTCAAAGAACATCGTGCGTTCCTAGGGAGGATAGGGACAGGAGGTAGGTATTGGAATTTTTTTTGAACTTTTGGAGATTATATGTTGTTGGGAACACTTCCACAGGCAATGAATTCCAGAGCCTAGCCGTTCTATGGATGAAGGAGTCTTGATAAAGTGCTGTTCGACATCTTTCGAGGTTGACAACGAAAGGATGTGCTGACTGGGCTTGTCTAGTTCGTCTGATTGGTATTGCTAGTGAAGGGATGATAGCAGAGATTTCCGAAGAACATTTCCCGTGGAAGTATCGATAGAAAAGTGAAAGGTCGCCGACCTTTCTACGGTGTTCTAATGATGTCAAAGAGTGAGTGAGTGTGGCGTCACCCACCAAGCGAATGGCTCTTTTCTGGATGGAATCTAAGAGCATCAGCGTATGTTTTGGTGCTGAACCCCATATGTGGGAACAGTATTCTAGAACAGGCCGTATCTGCGCTTTGTAGAACATGTAAACGGGATTTTTTTCCGAAACGTCCAAAGCTAAGTGAAAATTTGATATTTTTTCTATATACTTTCATTTCTCTTCTCCAAACCTTTTTCAATGCAAATTGTCACTGACAAGATAGTGCATTTTTCTTTTAGGCTCTCTGATAGGAAAATTCATTAAACGCAGTGACTTTTTCGGAAAATCATCTGATTTTTCCTTACTACACGTTTAGTGAAATAATATTCATATTTTTATTTTATAGAAACGAGAGAAAATCCCAAAAAAATCTGGAATAATAAAAAAAGTCCTTAACGTGTACACACTGTATATAAGATGTAGGTATTTCCAGCTTTTCGCTAGCACTTTCGGAAACACCCTTGTATATTGAAAGTTATAAGGAAATTAGCTACTCCGAAATATTCCCTCATTCTGGTTTTTTCGTCCTTGATATTCGCATGCCTAATTTTGATAATCGACTTAGAATAATGACTCCGATGGTGATAAATAGACATTATTACATTACAGCTGCCTGTAAATTTCATTAGTATTTATCGATTTTGTCCATTGCTTACGTTTCTTATGCACGCATCCAGGGAAATTTAACACACCCTGTGACGGTGGATATATATTTCTAATTCCCTACGAACGAAAATTTGAAAAAACGAGTCAGTGGTTAGTAGTTAGCAATATGTACTTCGTTGATATGTATGTACAGTGTGTCCTGCTTTTCATACTTTTGCGTGATATCTCATTTATCTTTGGCCAATTTTTTTGTGAAACTCAAGATGGCCTTCTTCTTCTTCTTCTTCTTCTTCTCTGCACAGGTGGGCGGGTGCGTAGACCCCTGCACTCAGGCCTCTTCAGTCGGGCCCATTGTGCACCCACTGGTCCTGTGAATCAGCTGGGCATGCCGATTTCTTTGACGAAATTCAGCAGCTTCCTCATCTGAGTCGCTTTCACATCCTTTGGGTGCAGTACAATGCTCCCAAAGGCAGTTTTCCTCTGATGCACCAGCGCGGGGCATTCAGTGAGTATGTGTGATGATGTTTCATCATCCTCCAAGCACCATCTGCAGATGGGATCATCTTTGATCCCTATGAGTTCTAGGTGCCTGTTGAGGTGGTTGTGCCCAGTTAAGAGCCCAACTACCATCTTGAGATCCCTTCTATTGAGTGACAGGATCTCTCTCGTGAGCCTTTTTGAAGGTTCCGTTATATGGAGCTTAGATTGTCTCATTCCTGGTGTGTCCCGCCATGTTTCAAGGAACTGCCTCTGTAGCGTATTTCCTTCATGAAGGACATAGCCGTACTATTGGGTATTCACAATATCGGTTCTGGTCCAATGGGTGTCGTTCCTGAACCGATCTTGGCTAGTCTGTCTTCCTCCTCGTTCCCCGGGATACCAGAGTGTCCTGGAACCCACATGAGGCTGACTTTCCTAGTTTTTGCCACATTTCCTAAGGCACTTCTACACTCGGAAACCAATTTAGTTGTGATTCTATTGGATCTCAATGCCATAATAGCAGCTTTGCTGTCCGAGCATATGGTGACTGGTCCACGTCCACTTCTGCCGAAATTTTCTTGGCACACGAAAGAATTGCAAACACTTCGGCCTGGAACACTGAAGCGTATTTGCCAGGAGGTACTGAGATTCCTTTCCACTCAAGATGGCCTAATCAGATTTTGCATAACTGTTTTCGATAATGAGATACAGGGCGATTTTGAAAATTTATACTTTTTGGACCCATTATTCTATATCTACGAAGTTTCCTATCGAAAATGTCGAATTACAATCTTATCCAAGCAATAGAGAATTTTACGCACAATACAGAGGCGCATTTATTTTCAGGGTATGGTTTTGGAACACCCTGTATTTTATGAGCTCAATGAATTCCTTATTTTTTTCCCTTCAAATTGATATACAGTCCCGTTTCTCATGAATATACCCTGATATCTCGCAGTTTTTAATGGTGCGATTCTCTTGAAATTTTTGTAGTGATTGTATGTTAGAATAAGGAAGTATTTAGCAGAATGAACAGTTTTATTCACCATTGGCGTGCGATGGTTAGGGGTACAAAAAAGGACTTTATTTGGGAAAAGGATATTAGGACTCATTTTCAATAACTTTTTTTATCAGATGCATAAGCAGTATATCCGAAAACCCCCCAATTCACATTTCCAAGATCCCAAGCGCTAAAATAGAATATTTCAAAATCCCGCTTTTCATGACTACCCTCAAATCTCAGTCATCAACGATGCGATTTTCTTGAAATTTTGATGGTGATTGTATGTTAAAAAAATAACATACAAGGGACCGTCAGCTCATGGTTCACTCAGACCGCGTAGGGCCACACGGACCTACACTATGTGACCATTTGTTATATTAATTTTGGGCCGTTGGGACTCTTCGATAAAGTGTTTGATGGTATGGGTGGACCGTCACGGTCTCTTAGGATAATAATTTCTACACGGACAACGAAATTTTTGTTTACATGTGAATGTGGTCCCTAGGTTTGAAAAACACTGTCGAAATATAAATAAATATTTTCTTTATTAAATTTTCAGTAATAAAAATGAGAGAATTGAACTATGAAATGGAATGAAAGTATAAAGATAATTTCACATTTATACGTCAAAAAACAGTTTTTAGTGTAATAGATTGGAACAATCTAGGCAAAGTGCTGGCTTTCCCTCGCAATCATCACAATAGGTTTGAACTTTTCGTCCATCCTTTGCAGCAATCATCTTGTAGCAATTCGTACAGAACCGCCTTACTACATGGCTGGATCCTGTTTTTACGGCGAAAACGGCCGTTTACTTCATCGAACAGTGGGACCAACGGTCCAGTAACAGCATTTCATAGTATGGTGGACCGCGTAGGTCCTATGGGACCTACACCTCATGAGCTTACATAATATTTTTGTTTTGAAGAATATCACAAAATGGTTCACACACCACTTATTTATGCTCAATATCTATCAAAAAATCATTTCGGCCCATAACGACTTTTTTTTAAATTTGGCTTGGCGCTGAACGTGTTAATAACTGAGATTTTGGGGCGTAGTCATAAAAAGCTGGATTTTGAATTTTCCTTGAGATTCCGAAAATATGAATTGGGGGTTTTTGGTGGATGCTGATTCTGAATCTGATAAAAACAGTTATTCAAAATAAGCTCTAATATCCTTTTTCCGAATAATGGCCTTTTTTGTACCCCTCAACATTGCACGCCAATGTTAAATGGAACTGTTCACTCTGCTAAATACTTCATTGTTCTAACATACAATCACCACTAAAATTTCAAAAGGATAGCATCATTAATACTGAGATATCAGGGTGTATTCATGAAAAGCGGGACACACTGTATAATGTATAAATATAATATTTTCAAAAATGCTCCAAAATCTCTGAAACATTGAATTTCAATAGTGGGCTATAGATTTTTCATGTAAAAAAGTTCCAATTGAAAGTATATTTCTTTTATCTTTCCATGAACAGGACAAAAACAATACCAACACAAATAAACAGAACACAAGAATGAGGTACCTGATAGCAACAAATAAATAATAATAAAAACTCCATAATGTAGAATAAGCACTTGATTGAATATTTACTGATCAGAATTCTAAATCTTGAACCACCCTGTATCTGATCCAATCAAATGTCAGTAGATAGTTAATCTAAAGGTAAGACAGGGACATGTAAGCCGTTTTGACCGATAATGAATAGTTTCGAAACAAAAAAATCTCAAAGTTGGGAAATCTCGATTTTGAACTCTCTACATCTCTGTAATCATTCATGCTAGACCCCAAGAGTGATACTTTGAAATCAGCTCCTCAGGGAGAATCTGAAAATGCAATAATGTACAGGGCATTCCAATAAAAAATAGCAACTTTGATACATTTCGTGATTTTGGCACATCCTGTAGAACACAAAATATTTTCAAAATGTGGCGCTAATAGACGTTGTATATTAGACAATGAGGCAGAAATATATTCTTTGTTCATGATCATCGATATGAAACTCCCGAAGAAAAAGAAGTTACTCACCGATAGGTATCTACACACAAATCTGTCGCAACTCCTCGGAACTCCCAAAAGCGCGTTTGATCAACAGGCTGCCGCGGCGACGATATATCCTGCTCGAAAGCGCCTACATGCACCCCCTCTGGAGGGGGAAACTATCCCCATTGGGCATTCTCTTCTCCTCCGAAAGAGCAGCAGGGTTTTTCAACTTTTTTTTTTGAACGGTTATGATTGGGTCGACTACAAGGAAGTTGCGATTGTTTTTATTCTATTGCGATGACGGGATAATCGGGAGATACCGTTAGATGTTTATTTATTTTTATTTATTCATTTATTTATTAGAGTAATACATCCAACAGACTAAAAGTCCAATTAGTGGAGTAAATCGTTTGTTCCGAGCACCCTGTATTTTCTAAGGTAGCGAAAAAAATATGTATCAAAAATCATATATCAGATCATTAAATACTATCTGTAGGTTAATCGAGGAGGTTGTACAGTCGCATTCAAAAAAAAGCGTACAAGTATATTACAGAGAGAAATTAACTTCATCCTATTCTGCATAAAACGGGCTATCGGGAATGATTGTTCACCAAATGTTGACAGTAAAGTTGTCATAGGTTCTCGAAAACACAAAGAATTGGCTGAGCCAGTTCTACACAACTAGAACTAGGATCCCGAAATCCTCTCTTTTTAATACTTGTACGCTTTTTTATTGAATACGACTGTACATACATTATTCCAGATTTTTTGGGATTTTCTCTCATCGTTTCTATGATATAAAAATTTGAATATTATTCCAATATACCTGTTGGAACAACTCAGTTGATTTTCCCCAAAATGTCACTGCGTTTAAAGAATTGTCCTATCAGAGAGCCTTAAAGAAAAATTCACTAGCTTGTCAGTGACACTTTTTATTGAAAAAAGAAGAGGAATAAAGGTACAGTGTGACCCATTTAAAATTGAACCACCCCTGTATCTTACGTAATCGTTGGGTAAGGATCCTGAAATTTGCTGGAGCAAGAGATATACCAAAAATGCACTTTATGACCAAGTGGGGTCATCTTCAGTGATATACACTGCTCGCCAACAGTCATGAAACCACCCCAATTTCCGAAAAATGATATTAGGAGTCAAAATAGGTTGAAAATCACGTCGGATTCGGAATCAGGTCGCCCAAGTTACTAACTATTCAAAGTTTTCCTAGAAGATTTTCAGTTCAGTAAAATTAAAATTTGTCTCACTTCTCATGGAAGCACCTCCGTATCTCACGTAATTATTGAGGTAGGGTTCTGAAATTTGCCGGAGGAAGAGAAAGTCCAAAGATAAAGTCAATTACGTGAGATACGGGGGTGCTTCCGTAAAAAATTTTTCCGAACTGAAAATTTTCCAGGAAAAATTTGAATAGTTAGTAAATTGGGCGTCCTGATTCCAAATCTGAAGTGATTTTCGACCTATTTTGACTCCTAATATCATTTTCCGGAAATTGGGGTAGTTTCATGGCTGTTGGCGAGCAGTGTATATCGCTGAAGATGATCCCACTTGGTCATATAGAGTGCATTTTTGGTATATCTCTCGCTCCAGCAAATTTCAGGATCTTTACCCAACGATGGGTCACACTGTATATAGAAAAAATATCAAATTTTTACTTAGCTTTGGACGTTTTGGGAACGGATTTGCGATACAAAAAAATCCATTTTTTATGTTGAAAACGGGAGCAGATTCGTTCCCGAAACGTCCAAAGCTTAGTAAGAATTTGATATTTTTTCTGTATAACTTTATTTTTCTTCTCCAAACTTTTTTCAATACAAATTGTCACTGACAAGCTAGTGAATACTTCTTTTAGGCTCTCAGATAGAAAAATTCTTTAAACGCAGTGACATTTTGGGGAAAATCAACTGATTTGTCCTTAATACACGTATATTGAAATAATATTCATATTTTTATTTTATAGAAACGAGAAGAGAAAATCCCGAAAAATCTGAAATAATGAATTTCAGATGATTTTCAAAATTTTTAAATCGGTTGAAAAATGAGTGAGCTGGAGGGGGGATATTTATGATGAATCACCATGTACAATTGTGAAGGGTGGCTGGAATTCGAGCATCATCATTGGGATCTCGTAAACCCTAAGAAATACAGGGTCGGTTAAATTATGGTTAAATTGCGCAATTTTATGTCCCAAAATTCCCAATACTTACGAAGATTTTTGGATCAAAACGAAGCTTTAGATTTTCTAAAATCAACAGTGTATCGCACTTATTCGAAAAATTAATGTCAGTGGAATTTTGCATAAAAGGACTCATATTTTTGGATGCATGACAAATTTATATTCCTCATACAGGACGTGGAAAGAAACTCTGAATTAAGAGAACCTAATCACGAATCTGCGATTGAAAGTCTATAAAAGTAACAAGTTTCCATCGTTCGAATTTGAACCCTTTGATTGGGTGAAAGTATTGAGAATATTCCTTTTCAAGAACTCATATGTTAGAGAGACAGAAAATAGAGTTTTAGTAGAATTAAAAACTAACACGTTATTCGAATGTGTGCGATGCCCAATTTTGATTTTAGGATATTGAAAAGTAGAATCCATGATGAAAAAATCCAGTGCAGTATTTAAAAAAAAACAAAATTGATGATGGCAGCTCAAAGACGAAACGTCATCTAGAAGAAGAGAAAAAGTAGCAATAAGAATGTGCATGTAATTTGTTTTGTTACATATATTCAAATAGAGTGATGAAAAAATGATAATTAAATCGCGAATATTCGGCTTGGTATTTTCCCGAAAATCTTTGGGAGTAATCGGAATTTTTCGATTATTAGAACGTCATTTTGTTAGGCATAAAATTACGCAACTTTGCCATAGTTAAACCGACCCTGTATCTTCCTGATTTTTTTCTTTGCTTTGGTATATGTATCTCAGACAAAATTCATTTTAGAACATGAAATGATAGAACGTTTTACCTCAAAAATGAAATAAGGAAATTTGAAACGAAATTTGTTGAACTTATTCTGTCCAATTTTGGACGTGTTCGTCAGTGGAGAAACGAAATCATGACTCCAGGGGCGTACATGTTTTTGTTTGTTTTCACAAGGAACACATTTAAAAAGTTTGAAATATCGATGGAGATATGAAATCTTACAGTCGCATTTCCAAAAATTTCTTCAGGATCGTACATATTTCAATTTCCTGTTCATTCAAGAGTTTTACTATGATGAATTGCCGCAGAGTATACGAAGTTGGTATTTAAAAATCCCAGGGGATCACCAAGAAACCGTAAGTTCCAGTACACAGCAAATAAAAGAGTGATAAAAGTCGCATTTTATAGACAAGGAAACGACAACACCTGATACAAAATAATTTTAACGGTCTGGGCGTTCTTTTAATATTCTCCTCGAACGAGGAAAATTTGAAATGTTGCACCGTTGACGGGAATGGATAACTGCCCATTCCCTTCACGGACAATAGGGCTTTATAAAAGTCCAAGGAAGAATTCACTTTATATCTTAATCCTTATTTATCGTATAGAGTATGTCCGCAGAATAAAAGATATCACACGCCGTTGACCACTATACGATACGTCAGCCTGAAATAAGGCAGATGACGTATATATATATGTAGCAAGATTGATGAAAAGTCAAGCAAATAGAAGAAGTGTAACGCAGTTCACGTCGGGAAAAACTACGCACTCACCAGCAAAAAAACCGGCCACCAAAATATTTAGCCAAATTATTCGCCCTGTAACTTTTTTAATTCTTGTCCGATTTTGGTGAAAGGACCCCGCACTTTTTCTATATAAAAATGGCGTTCTAGTTTTTGAGATACAGGGTGTTGAAGTTGAGAAATGCTTCCTTTTCATCTACTCATATCTCCAAGAAAAGACAAATGAATAAGAATTTTCTGCTAGCTGTTTTTCTGTTTAACCTTTAGGTAGAAGAACCATGTACAGAATCAACCAAAGCTGATCTTTATCACTGAATTATTGTGTTATTTTCAATTTCTAAATATCCATACTACAAATTCTAAATATCGATACAACAACATGAAAAATTGATTCATTTTATGTATTGATTGTACATGGTGTTTCGTGAATGCTGATGTTTAAAAAATAAAGTTTAATGAGCCACCTCGTATTATTGGGTTGATTTATTAGGCTATTGATTATAATTTTTGAGGACATATTATGGTGCATTTCATGGTATACAGAGTGATTTATCGATTGAAAAAATTCCCAGCTACAAAAAAATATTAAATTACCACTATTTTTTTCATCACCCTCTAATTCTAGATTATCACCGTTGAGGTCAGATTTTTTTTCATTAATATTCTAAGTATTAATACCTCAATGAGATGAAGAATTTTCAGCTTCTTGCTATGACTAGTACGAAGGCGCTGAAGGGCCACCTATACTTTTTTTTTTCGAATCCCGACTTTAAAGTCGGACCCCCGACTTTAAAGTCGGGGGTCCGAGATTAAAGTCGGGGGTCCGACTTTAAAGTCGGGGGTCCGAGATTAAAGTCGGGGGTCCGACTTTAAAGTCGGGGGTCCGAGATTAAAGTCGGGGGTCCGACTTTAAAGTCGGGGGTCCGAGATTAAAGTCGGGGGTCCGACTTTAAAGTCGGGGGTCCGAGATTAAAGTCGGGGGTCCGACTTTAAAGTCGGGGGTCCGAGATTAAAGTCGGGGGTCCGAGATTAAAGTCGGGGGTCCGACTTTAAAGTCGGGGGTCCGAGATTAAAGTCGGGGGTCCGACTTTAAAGTCGGGGGTCCGAGATTAAAGTCGGGGGTCCGACTTTAAAGTCGGGGGTCCGAGATTAAAGTCGGGGGTCCGAGATTAAAGTCGGGGGTCCGACTTTAAAGTCGGGGGTCCGAGATTAAAGTCGGGGGTCCGACTTTAAAGTCGGGGGTCCGAGATTAAAGTCGGGGGTCCGACTTTAAAGTCGGGGGTCCGAGATTAAAGTCGGGGGTCCGACTTTAAAGTCGGGGGTCCGAGATTAAAGTCGGGGGTCCGACTTTAAAGTCGGGGGTCACTTTTGTTTAATTCGAATATCCTTAATATCGACAAAATATC